CTTGAAATGGATTCAAAAATAACCAACCACGATAAAAATATATTAACCGATAAAAATAATAAAAATACTATTAACAACGGAGTAAATAATATTTACATAGATTATTATCTGAACAGAATTCATCGTAAAGAAACAACACCAAAAAGTTCACGGTGGATAAACAGGGCATTATTTTATATTTACGTAATAAACATTGTCAAATTTTTAATCATGGACAAATTCACACGTGATACTCAACTATTACTGCACAACATGGGCCTATTTCTAGGCGGAATTCACCAATACAACTTATATGCCATGATACTAGCTTTTACTATGGGCGCAGGGATGCACCGGTGCGTTCATTTGAGCACAAGTGCACCTCAATGGACATTATTGTACGATGTAATTCGAGGTGCGAAATCACCAAGATTACTCGGACTAACCGATAGCCAAGAGGATTTAAAATTATTATACCGGCTTCGATTTGGAGCCCGTATTATTTATACAACATTTGTAACTTTTTTCGCTTTGTTATGTAAGTTCTGTAAATTGTACTTGGTCTTACACTTGGCTTAACAGATGCCATTAAACATAATTATCAAACAATGATCATGATAATTTTAACCTTTAATATAATTTATTTTATTTGTATCTAGATGTTATTATGACCGCAATGTTTATTAGTTTTATTATAATATTCTATTCGCTAAACTCATTCATGTTATCATTTATACCGCAATTATTGACATACATATCAATCTATACACTACTGGCCGACGGGTGCGCTGTAATGACTTTCTGTGCCGTTTTGGCCATATATGTCGATATGAGAATCACTACAATCAATGACCACTTACGGCAACTTATGAACCATCGAGATCTGGATCAATTATCTATACAGCAAATAACCTATCGGTTCATTAGAGAGCACAACCAGTTTCTCGTACTATTAAACCTATTTAACCGATTCTGGTCCAGAATATACATGTCATTTATATTCACTCTCATACCGTTAAACCTCGTATTCCAGCACCAGGTCTTCTTTGAGCCCCTGACCCCTATTGTGCGCCTATTTATGGCCGTTATTGTAGTCATTATATCTATCTTGATATTTATATTTCAATTTGTTTACGCCCTCATGTCTCATAAAATACACCGCACTTATAAAACACTGGCCAGAGTTGAGTGGCGGGCGGGCCCGGACCGGGTGTCGGGTCTGGCCTGGGGTTTGAGGTTTAAACTGAAATTAATGACTTATTTTGAGCGCTTGAGTGCCAAGAGAAAGATCGGGGTCACAATCGGGTCGCTCAGGGTTATGACATTTCCAGTGTTTTATGCGGTATTTGTGATTGTTTTATTCTCTCTCTCTCTCTCTCTCTCTCTCTCTCGACGTCTATTATTCTCTCGCATTGCATACGAGGTCAGAGATGTAAGCGAACAGATCGTACCAGTGCTGAGAGTGTGCGATATTGTAGTGAATATAAACACAACCACTGTTTCTGTTATATTCTGTGTTATTAAATATATTATTTGTGTATAAAAATTTTTAAGTATCTCTTTTTGGGTGAAAACACACTCTCTATTCTCATGTTGTGTTCAATACTAAAAATATTTCAACAATAATAAATCAATATATTTATTTTTCTGGTATAAAAACGTGTATATCATTATCAGTTACATAAAGTTTTGCCCCATTATTATAATAGTGTTCAATATTATAGATTGACTGCTGAGTTAGTCGTGAGAGTTGCGAGTATTGAGAGGTAAATATTAATTGATTGGCAAAAAAAATATTCAGTGATATATCTATAGAGAGATCGCCGACGAACTGATTTATTTATGTCACTCGTGAGCGCTCTCTCCATCTGAAGACACCAGAGATTCTGTGAGATCACAGCGACTGTCGTCTACCACTGACTCTCCCATTGTTGCCAATAGTGACGGAGTTTTCAACACAACCGACACATGAAATTGATGTCCATATATATACACACATACCATATGAACGACAGCTCCGATCGACAATGTTATCGGTGTTTAACGAAAATATATTATATATTATATCGTATTTAAAGTAATATTAATGACATATTAATTTTGAATTATGAATTTATTAATGAATTAATTAGTTATAAAAATAACGTTAATTAAAATCAACGAACTATACGATTGTTTAGGAAATTTTTTAAATATATTGTTTGTATAATAATATAAATAATAATTTTCATAAATAGTTATAACAAAACACTATTTATTATAATAGGAGTTATTATTATTATTATTGAAAGCAACAAATATACCATTAATAAATATTCTGTGTATTTATCGGACATACAAAAACAACAACAAAAATGATGATAAATTGCCAGAATATTCAGTGACTGTATAAACATAAATATAATTATAAACACTAATGAGTGATGTGTTGGAAATATTCAACAAATTTGTTATCATGTTTTGGTGTGAATAATGAGAAGACGTCGCCGTTATTACAGTAAAAGCAATTCAATGTCATCAACACTTCTGCATCTTTTATACCTATCATGTGTTATCCCAATTGCATATACAGGTGAGAGAGCTGTTAGAACATAGGGACTGGCAGTCGGTCGCCCGCCTCTGTCACTCATACCATACATACACACAACACATATACAGTAAATACTCACACGTTATGTTGAATTATATAAATGTCATCCAATTATATGTCACACTATATTTGCTTTGCTTTTCTCTCATTGAATATGTGTTTTCATTAGACAAACACACGTATTAATGTCATGTCATTCATAGTATTGCTATATCTTATAAGTTATATATTTCTAATTTAATAAAACAAACAATCTCTCTCTCTCTCTCTCTCTCTCTCTCTCTCTCTCCCCGTCTGTTTTGATTGATATATTAGTAAAAATATAGCATTAATTCACAATAAATGTTGAAATAATATTTATTTTGTTTTATGTCTTAAGTTTTAATTACATTATATATTTAAATGCTCTTTTGAAATGTTGTAATGGGTGATTTTTTGTTTTAAAATTCCTATTCAAATGTTCAATTATTAAAGAGTATTTTTTATGAATGATATTATTTTTTAGTTTTCTAAAAATATATCACCATCATAAATGTTAATGTTATAAATGAAATTAATATCAAACAATAATTTTATTTTATTTTAGTTATTTTATTATTCAAATGTCTATTTTAGTGAACGTAATAGAGATAAATCGCTTTTGATTTATGCATAAAATTACAATCAATTCTTCAACCGAGAGAGAGAGAGAGAGAGAGAGAGAGAGAGAGAGAGAGCAGAAAAATAGATTTCAATATCTTTCTACAAAATTCTGTAATTTTATCCAAACATACATTTATTTCTCGATAAATTTTTTTAATCTCCCTTTATTTCTATAGTCTTTTATTGAAACTAATATCTGTTTTATAATAAAAAATATTTTTGATGTTCAGTGAAAAAAGACACTGAACTTAATCTACGGGAAAGCTTCGTATCAGTACTGATATATCAATGGCGTTGTGATGTGTATCACAACATATTTCACACCCAACAAAATGTGGGGAAATTTTAGCTTTAATGGGAGGCATTGTATCAAAAGGCATGAGAGAGAGAGAGAGAGAGAGAGAGAGAGAATGGGAAATAGTACACAACCCATGTGTATAATGCATATACTGTATGGCCTTTCCTTTTCATATATTGAGTGACTTTTAGAGAAATTATTTTTCTCTCACTTTCTCTGACTCTCTCACTCCCAACCCCTCAACACTTTTAAATTAACTTCAAATAAATGCGATTCAACTATACTTAACGATTTTTGCACAGTATTTTCCCCATCTCTCACATGATCTCTCTCTCTCTCTCTCTCTCGCTCTCTCAATTGCAATCCCTCTCTTTCCCTCCAGAGAGGTTCATTCAAATTCAATTTACTTCAATTGATTTAAATAAAATCTCTTTCGATTTCCACAAATAAGTCAAATAGAGTTTATATATAAGAAAAACATCACTTTTTATTGATTTTGAAATATTCCTGTGTCTGTTTGTCTTCCACACAATTCGTATACATAGTGTAGGCGTTTATTGTGTTAAATCAATTGATTTCTAGTGAAATTTTCAAATCTATTTATTACTACACGTTATATCCAATATATGGCACACAATCCGAGCTTATTCTGTGTTTTTCAGAAAAATATATACACTTTTGTATTTGAAATTTTAACATAAAATGGATGCGAATATAATATTTCTCTCGTAAAACCCATTTTTAGTCTCTCTTTACTTTTAAATGTGTATTAATTTTATGATTTATGAAAAGCGCACGACTTTTCGTATTCATTATATTCATTAGACACTAAATCTCTGGCTTAACGTTGGCTTCAAAATGTATTTTATACACAGAATTACTGATATATTTATTCTGCGAATCAAATCCTTTTCTCTACTATAATATAACTACACTTTTATTCAAAGATTTTCTTTGAGTTTTATTTAGTTTTTTTGAGTAAATTATTTTATACTTATAGAAAAACTTGAATTTGAAGTTAATTTATTTTTAACAATATAAGAGGTATTTTTTTGCTCATATTATTTTGCAAATCTCTGTATGAATTAAATTTCTATAATATGTAGTATATTATACAAAATGAAAGCTAGAAAATTTGCACAAATATTACATTTATCTATTATTTGCATAAATTGATTATAATTTCATTTATATGTGTTGTTATCAAATCTCTCTCTCTCTCTCTCTCTCTCTCTCTCTCTCGCTCTCATTCACTCTAGTTATCAAACCATTAAATTAATAGATAATATAAGTCTCACATTCAATGATAAAATAAATCTCATTTGCATTTAATTTTCACAAATACATTAATACATGTAAAGTACACTAATATTCTAACGATAAGAAATACGCCTAAAATACATATAAAATTAGGGTAATTATCGACATAATTATCCAACAAAAACACTTATAATCATTAAAAATAATACAATACTAATTGCTATCCATATTATGTCCATTATTACCACGGATTCTGTAGGTCTGGAACTGAACTCTTTTATAAAACATTTTGAGCCCTTATATTATGATAACCATAAGCTCCGGAACCAACACTCGAGGGTTAAACGCAATCTGAATAGTAATATGCCGTCAGTGAAGGGCTCGGCGGCCGACCATCACATAAACGGCACAACACATTCCCGGCCGCCGCCGACGGCCGGCGCCACAAACGGCCGCCACAGCCCTCACAACGAGATTCGGCTCAACTTCTCGGCACACAATCGTCTCTTCCGTCTTGTGATGAGAGCCGATAACTCGCTCTTCACGTCGGATGTGGTCTTCGAGTCCACCACTAAAGGGGTCTTCAATTACGACACCAATAATGCCATTAAAGGATATTTAGAGGGTATTTATCGTTCACTTTCTCATTAAATAATTACATTAATGCTATTGTCGACACATTTATCATCAATTAATTATAAACATAATGATCATGCAATCAAATCAATGTGTTAGATAGTATTGGTATCTAACTTAACCAAGATTATATTGTCTGCATAATGTTTACATAGACGTCTAGAAATGATGTTTACATAAACTTATAACAGTAGAGAAATTATTTTAAACATTATATAATTATTTTAATTGTTTGCCCAAAATTGAATAACAAATTGTGTTTGATGAAATTCCTCACACAAACTTGTAAATTAAATCACGATTGGATTTTGCATATATTATATAATGATAATTGGTTATAGATTTATATTTTTGCATAAAATTCAAATATAATAAATAAATAAATTCAAAATAAAAATGCCGAATACTGTGTTTTGTCAATAATATATATTTTAGGTTATATTAAATTGAATATTAGCTAAGAATATACATTATAAATATTAAAACAGGCAAAATATTAATATTTAATGATTAAAATTCTATCGCAGAATACGAGACATATATAAAAATCATGCTATTTTTGTTCGCTTGTATTAACTCATGATATCATTTACAGTATTAAACATAATATGCAAATAAAATATAAATTTTAAATTTAAAATCAATATCAAAATGAAATCTCATTTTAGGCATGTATTGAATGCATTAATTTTTGCATTAATTTGAATTTAGTGTTCAGGAGATGTTTGTAGATATGAAAAAGCAAACAAATGCTTTAATAACTCTACTATAATATACCCTATTTATGCATCAAATATATTTAAATACCATATATACAAGTAATATACTGTATATTCAGTTAATATACTATATGAACAAAATTAATGTTTGATAAGTTAGACATTGAGATAATGGATTCAATATATTTAGTTTTAGTTTTGCACATTGTATATAACAATACACAACAGTAATACAGACTTTACTTTACTTTATTAAACATACAATAAATTATTTGCCAAAACTAAGAGAATCCTTAATTAAAAAATGTTTGTTATGAATAACATTAATTTATTAGAGATGTTTGCGTTATGTTTATATAAATACATACATATAAAAGTCATTCATAACTTTTGTACGTTTGGGTGTTTAAACTTAATAACGAGATCAAAGCCCCTAAATATGTATATGAGATATGAACTNATTTGAAACACATACACAGTCTCTCCTAATGTAACGCAGAGAGAGAGAGAGAGAGAGCTAACAATATAGTGTGTGAAAGACAGAGTGGGTATTGAGTAAATAAAACACATTTAATGAATAATTTCTGTCGTTCAGGACTTTCGACACAACGCTATAAATATATATCTCTTTTTGAGACTTAAAGCGATAGAAGAGAAGGAAAACTCTTAATTCTTGACCTAATTTTTGTTGAACATAAGAGATAACACATAATTGCTTACAGAATATTATATAACAATAATAATACACTTGCTTTTGGATTATAGATGAATATGTAATCCATATGTTTCGTTATAATACAGTAATTTATATAACAAAATACATTGTATGCACTAATTATGTTACATATGGATGAAGACTTTAGTGTCAAACAATTCTTACGTAACTAAATATATTAGAATTTATTTTTGATAACATTATATATACTGACAAACAATACAATGTATATTCTGTATGTATGGTATAGTAAGGCAGGGGTTTATTATGAGAAATAATAATACTGTATACGTTTTTCATCTCGTTGTTGTTGTTTACCCCAAAATACATGAATATTTTATCGATTGTCTCAAATAGGAATCACTTGTAAAGTCATTCCAGTCTATAACTCAGTTAAGCCTTCTTTCGCCTCTCAATACATCTCTCTCTCTCTCTCCGTCTGTTTTGATTGATATATTAGTAAAAATATAGCATTAATTCACAATAAATGTTGAATTAATATTTATTTTG